GCCGTTGCTAGGGATGTATTGCATAATATTTAGTATTTTCTGTTTTTCTCTTAGAGGACACAAAAAAAATTTAACTCTTGTTTTATTTTTTTTTTGCCGATTTTTTTTAGAAAAAGGGAACGAAAAGAAGCAAGGCAAGGACTGGAGCATCCTGAAGGAGGGTAACAATTACTAAATTTTTCCCTCAAATTTATTGATTTTTATGCATGGTAGAAGATCCTTGCATCCAAGGCTAGAAAATCCTTTCATTATTTCATTCAAAAATAAAAATCCGAAAGAAAAATTAATTTTGATAGATCCTGAAGGAAGTACAAGTCAAACTGAGAACAATCCTATGGCCATGAAAAATTATTATATCTCTGATTCATTTCAACGAGCATCCAATATTAGAGTCCCATTAGCACCCAATGTTAAATTCGAAATAAATCCAGGAATTTTTCAAATGCTCCCTAATTTTCATGGATTGCCTTTAGAAGAACCTCATCAGCACTTAGAAAAATTTCATATGGTCTGTGATTTAGTTAATCTCCCTCAAGTTACACCGGAAATTATTAAGATGAAATTATTTCCTCATACACTTAGGGACAAAGCTAGCCATTGGCTATCTACATTAGATAGAGAATTAACTAGCTGGAAAGACATAGAACATGCCTTTCTTCGAAAATTTTATCCCTTAGGAAAAACTCAAAATATGAGAAAACATATATGAAATTTTTCTCAAAGATCAGGAGAAACTTTACATGAGACATGGGAAACATTCAAAGATTTACTTAGAAAGTGTCCTCATCATGCTATACCCAAGTGGTAGCTCAATAGAATTTTTTATGATGGATTATTAGAACAACATAGAAATATGGTTAATTCTATATGTGGAGGAGCTTTTATGGAGAAAACCCCTGATGAGATTTACAGTCTTTATGAGAATTTAAGTGAAAATTCTAGAGATCAAGCCTCTTTTGAATTATATGATAAGGATAAGAAGAGAGGAATTCATGAATTGCATCATGATAATAAATTTAAATTTAGAAATGAGGTTAATCAAATTAATCAAAGATTAGAAAAACTTGATTTGCTTATTGACAATATTAGAAACCCTCTTAACCCTCAATTTAATTCAAATAGTACATGTCCTATGTATGGTGAAAATAATCACTTCGAATTTCAATATCATCCTAGGCAAGAACAAGTGCATGTACCCCACGATTTTAGTAAAATAGAGAATAGTTTTCTAATTCTTATAATCCTAATTGGGGGAATAATTTTTCGTGGAGAAACCCAAATAATATTCAAAATCTAGAAGCACTTAGATTCAATTCAAACTCTGAATTTTGTCCAAAACAAGAAAACAGATTTCAGAAAAATCAGCCCTCTCTAACCCAACCTGGTACTATAGAAATGATGCAACAAATGAGCCAAATGATGCAACAAGTTATGAGCCAAATGATGCAACAAACTATGAATAAAATAATGCTACACCAGAAACAAATTATAGAGGCTCTTGGGAATAAGAGAGAAGAGGGACAGCTACCTTGTCAGCCCATAGAAAATTCAAGAAACTGTCCAACAGTAAGATTTCAGCAAGCAGAGTCTAATTGGATAAATTTAGAAAAAAACCCACGAAATGAAAATGTTAGGTCAGTGAATACATTGAGTGAGAATATTTTACTTGATCCTTATTTCCAATTATTAGAAGAAATTGATGAGCCATTAGAAGTAAATGAGAATATTAAGGCTGAAAATATAGTAGCAGAAAATTTGAATAAAATCATTTATTGCTCACAATTGATAAAGGAATATAGTGAGGATGATGAGGAGAAAGAGCCCTTAGATGAAGAAACAGCAGCTGATCATGGAAAAATCATCCAAATTTTAGTAGAAGGGAGTAAGGACACAAATGAAGAAAAACATATTCCAGGTGAGGAAAAATCAGTTGATGTAGGAGACGAAATTAATAAATCTAATCATAATTTTGCAGCCATGGATGTTGATAGTGAGGAGGATGATGTATATCATATACCGAAATTAAAAGATAGCTCTTGGGAAGATGAAGAATTTGATGAGTTGAGAAACGAAAAGCTAGAAAAAGAGTTGATTCAACTAATGGGGAGAAACGAAAATAATGAATATGAATATAGAGATAATTTTGGAGGAGAAAATTTGAATTTTACTGAATTCATTAGATCTGAGATTAAAGAAGACAACCCTTCCATCCTTCAAAACCCACAGCCCATTAGAATTACTTCTAAGCTTGAAATATTTCACTCCTCACAAATTGAACAAATATGTATGGAAGATAAAATAAAGCAGGGGAAGATTATGTAGATAAAAGAAGACATTAAGAAATGGGTGAGTGGAAGAATTAGAGATATCAATTTAGATGAAAAAAATTTAGATTGGGTAAGAGCTAATTCGAAAATTATATGGCCTGATCACATTTTATGGTCTATTAATAGGAAGTATTTATTAATGAATGAGAGCCTTACAAAACAAGATAGAAATGAGGAAAGATTCTTTTCAAAACAAAAATATTATTTTTGGGAAAATTTTGTTAATTTCCATCTTGTTTTGGCTGAAAGTATGTCAAGGTATATATATGAAGTACATGAATTTATGCTAAATCTGAAAAAGAATATCATGAAACTTACCTTGGGATACAAATATATTTTGATGGCCATAGATCATCTTATATGATCTAAGAGCTGTCCAGCTGAAGACATTAAATTCAGCGCTACATGGGAGGCAACCCATGATTTTTATTTCATTCTATTTGATTTTTTTTTTTAAGCTCTGTTTTTCTTAGAATTTCGCAGTACTTGTTTCTGTATTTGTTTTTTCGAAAAAGTGCAAGAGGAGGAGTGTAAGATGAAGTGGAAAATTAAAATCGAGGTTGAGGTGATGTCTTTCGGAGCTTTATCATTTATGACAACATTTTTAATGCTTAACTTTGCATATATGCATGCTTCACGTGAAAATTATATTTTCTGCATATTCTGTTTCGATTTTTCTATGTCATTGAGGCAATGTCATTTTTAAGTTGGGGGGTGAAGTATTCATTATTAATTTATGCTGTAAGACGATTAAGAACATGTGTTTGCATTTTATTCAACTTAGAACAGAAACTTAAAAAAATAAAAAAATAAAAATTCGGAAAAACTACAACATCTATTTTTTGGTTTTCTTTCAGGAACAACAGACTGTCAAAAACAGCAGACAGAAAAACAACCCTAAATTTGAAATTATAGAGGCCCTTTTCTCACATTTCAATCCCCTAGACATATATTACTAAAATTCGAAATTACAACTATAAAGAAGATAGTTTTGATTTATTTTTGACAAATTTATTGCTGCTAAAATAGAACTGAAAATAGAAAACAGAACTGTCAGAACTATCTAATTTACAAATTTCTTATATCATATTGCATGCATGAAAAATTAAATCAATTAGATTGATTGATACCAAAAGATACTAGGAAGATTATTATTGAGTCAAAAGAATGATCTAGTAGCATGAAATGTTGGAATACTCCTTGGATACATGATAGATAACATGGATTTGATTTTACAGATTTTCACTTCATGATCTTGATGGATAATATTTACTTGATGTGAAAATTTGATTGATCATTTGAGTTTAATAGAGATTTTTGCATCCTAATCTATAGGACTTGTGAGGAGAAATCACTTATTTCGAAAAAAAAAAAGAGAGAGCAATGTAAAAAATCTAGAAACGAAGAGTACACATGGAGGGTGTGAGACATCATTCTCATTGTTGAAAATCATGTATAGAAAAACACTTGCTGCAAAATAAGTGGATAAAGTGAAAGCCCTGAAAATGAAGAGTACACATGGAGGGTGTGAGACATCATTCTTCTTGTCGAAATTTGTCTACAGGAAAAGCTACTTATCCACTATATATAAAGAAAGAAGAAATATAGTGCAAACTTCAAAAATCAAGCCATAGAAAAAGGGAAATGTAGGATCAATATTATTCTTGGATGAGTATTGATAATTGGAACATCTTGTAAATACACCTATGAGTGAAGAAGTGATAAAGATGTGAATAGAAGAAGTGAAGTTTAGATTGTTATTCCAAGGAGTGTTTAAACATTTAAGTGCTTGACATCATTCTTAAATACTTGATATAAGAATCCAAAGTGTCTAAAGGTGCATCATTTCTAATTGTATTTTTTTCTTTCTGTATTGAAATATGATGTTTGAGATTTGTAAATTTTTATTTTCGTAATTCCATTGCTAAGAGACTAGCAATGATTTAAGTTGGGGGGTGTGATAAGTCTTCATTATCATGAGTTAATAATTAGTAAATAATATAGTTTTAGCCTTAACTCATGATAAATAGACTTATATTTGTGTTAAAGTGTGAAAAGTGGTTTTCAGTTGATTAATGTGAATTTTTAGGTAATTATGTGATTTTACATGAATTTATATGATTTTTACAGTCTTGCTTTTGAGATAAATGAAGAAAAAGAAATAAAAATAAGACAAAATGAGGGGGGGACCCGCCGGCCAGCCGGGTCCACAAGCGGGTCGGAAGCTCAGTCAGGGAGAGTAGCTGCGAGCAAGGGCTCGAGCGGGTTGGACCGATAGGGGCACGTGTGCGCCACTCCCCTTCCACGTCACTGGTGGCTAGCTAGCTGTAGGGCAAGGAGTGGTCATACACGCGACAGAAGGGGCTTTGCTTAGAAAACTAACATTACTATATATTTGCCTGAAAAATCAGCGCACAACCGATGTGGGACTAAACCCGCATCACACCTTCCTCAGAAGGGGCAGACAAACGGCGCGGGTTCGAATCCTCCCAAAGTCAAAATTCATATATTTTTATCTGATTATCGCAAGTTTCTTGCAGATCGCCGGTGAAGGATTAAACAACGAGAATCGCTGGATCATCGGCGAAAATCTCGTCAACGCGATTCGTGGAGCATTGCCACTAAAATTGCTGAACGATTCGCGATAAAAGGATCGCGAATCCATCGAGTAAATCATCTCCGATTGATCGACGAACAAGCCGTCGTCGGGAAGAGGACGATCCGCCGGGAGACGAGTCGCCACCTCCTGAGAGTGTACCAGATGCGATGAAGAGCCTCCTCTTGCTGCGCGGACCTGAGGATGAAGCTCCCTAACACGCGGCCCACCTCCATCCAGCTCCTCTCCGTCGGGTGACAGCGACCGGAGAGCCGCAAAGTCGCCGTTTTTCCACTCCGCCGGGTGACAGCCACTGGAGACGACTCGACGACCCATTTCATTAATCTCTAGACTTCGCGAGAAGATCTAGAGAATGCCCAGGTCATCTTTGTCCAAGGAGAGCCTTCGAGGCCGTGGACACTGCACGACGATCCTCCCGAACGCTCAAGATTCTGGTGCATCGCCGACGCATCGCCGTCGCGACGCCGGAACTCTGTTTTCCTACTTTGAATTTAATTTACACTTCATTTAGTGATACTTTGTGTGATTTTAATTTACCAAAATATACTTTGTTCTATTACGATTCTTCCGACTTTTGCAGATCTTAATTTGATTAACTAAATCGTCTGTAATCGCTTACGTAAGAATCGCCAGGCGGAACTCTGTTTCCGCCCGATTCACGTTCGCCGGGTGCTGACGTCATCCTGACGTCTGCACCCTTATTTCCTTTTTTTTGTGAATTTTAAATATATTTCCTTTTCATTTCCTAGTATAAAATTCATAGAAAATCTTATTCATTGAGAAAAAATCTGAATAATTACAAAATATTATAGTACATCCCTGTGATTGACTTGGGAAATTACCGCTATTTTTGGAAGTTTTATTGAATTATAATTGATATATTTATTTAGAAATACTTCTAAATATCTAAAAATTCGTATTTTCTAATTTTATAAATTTTATATTTGCGTGATTTAATATACAACGACTATCACGTCAGACCTCAAAGGTGGTGGTGACACCCTCGGCACCTGAGAATGATGGTGCCCATAACAGCGTGATAGCAAGGGCACGGCAGTGAGGAGGGGCCTTGATGGTGGCCGTGATGGTGGAGATGTCAGAGAAGAGGAGGAGAGCAACAACACCGGCAAGGGGCGACGGTGGCAAGGAGGGTAGTGCCGAAAGGAGAAGGAAAGCGATGGCAGAGATGACGACGCCGGAAGAGGGAAGAGCAGCAACGCTAAAGAACCATTTGTGGAGGGAAGAGGCCGATGAAGAGGAGAGCGACATGCTAGAGATGGGCAGCACATTGGAGAGGAGGAGGATGACGAGGGATACTTAGGGCTTTGATATCATGTTGACACAAGAAAAGAAAATCCTGAAATTCATGCAGTCTCAAAAGATAGAATACATGACTCTTATATAGGAGAAAGGAGAGATGGGAGAAAGATAGATAATGGGCCATAGTGGGCCAGGAGTACAATACCACTACCAAACACACATTAAATAAGAAGGTGCTTAAGAAAAACTTATGTGAGATACTTTAAAGGCTCTCCATCACTTAATCTCATGTGAGATAAATGACATATCATGAAATATAAAACATCTCCCTCATTACTAAAAATTAGATATAATCCTATAATAAATAAAACTCTCCTTTCTCATCCTTAAAAAATCTGAATATCATCTAAATAAATCTTAAAAAGTTCTCAAATTTTGTTCATCGGTTTTCTTATATGTTCAAGAAAAAATTTCAACCGATAATCCATATGAATTTTTTTTTGTAATGCTAAGTTCATATATCACATTTTAAGCATAATTCCTGCCCCCTACATGAAATTTGAGCAAATCATAATAATGGCATCCTATATTAAATTCAAGGCATTATGTTTTAATAAATCTAATCAAGTATATACATATGATCCAAATTATACAACATAAATATAGTATTATCATGTAGGTTCACTCTAGTTTCTCTTTTTCACTTGTCACCACAAGAGACATGAGTTTTTATATTGGTTCAAATTTTACCACGCTCCATCTAATCATAGAAGAATCTTCATATTGAAGTTCACTATTTTCTTCTAGAAATATAGTTGAATTCATGAGATCAGTGGTCCAAGCACTCCTATTTGATCTCTGTAGAGATCATTGATGAACTCAATTTAGAGGTTAGATATATCATCATGATGCAACCAAGTTCATATAAATAATATTTATAAAACCTTAATTTTGAGTTTTAGATAGGTAAGGGTTGATCGTCAAGGAGCCTGGTTAATGAGAGTAAGAATTTTACTTATTTTATTTCTTATATATATATATATATAGATATACTTGAGATTGTGAAAGGCAAATTTCATTCTAAAAAGGGTAAAGATAAGAGAAATAAAAAGTGTGGGAAAGAGGAGAGAATGGACTTAATGCAATGAAATGATAGAATAAATGATAAAATTAGTTTGCTGATCTTGATGCACTCTAGATGGTTTCTTTTCCACAACAATTTTGGGCATGAGAATGCTGTTGATCGAGTCTTGATTTTCCTCTTTTTTCTTTTGGCTAACTAATGCTAGAGAGAGAGAGCCAAAAAGCTCCCTCTAAGAGGGAAGCGAAAGGCCTTAAACTTCTTGAGAATTAGGCTCCTTCAATAGACATTTATATTTAATAACTGACTCTCTTGGTGGATGACCTAGATTTTTTTATGAGGGTAACGCTCTAATTCTTCTCTTAATCTCATCTTAAGGTGCCCTAAGATGGGCGGCCTAGATCTCATCTCTTGATAGTCCTTTTAAGTCTAAGTGGGTTAGGCCAAGGTCATGTGCTACTTAAGGTCTAAATGGGCCTGACCAAGATGACGCCCTCTCTTGGGCCCATAAACATATTAGGTTGACCCCCTCTATAAGACTTGAACTTTTCTTTAGGTTAAAAATTTGGCCTTCTTCTATTACTTCCAACTCATAATAAGAGCTCACCTAAGTCCTCGCAATCAAATAATTATCAAAAAAATGTGAGAGAACTACCACTTGACTTCATAAAAGTCAAGTAGGGTTAGTCTCATAATATCAATAAAATAAGTAAAATAATATATATTATGACTTAAATAATAAAATATTATGAATTGTATAATGATTTGGTAACACATATATAATTACATTCTCTACCCACTAATTAGTATCTATATATAAGATATTAATGCATAGATGCAACTACTAATTTATAATAATCAATCATACCCCTCATGAATAATATTTTTTTATCAAGACCATGTGCCTAAGTCAATATATTACTCTCCTCAAAGACCACACCTTCCATGTGTAGTTTTCAGTTTTAAGCGCTTTGTGCCTTAGCCTAAACCTCTTTCCACTCACCCCGTAGGTTACCTTAGGACTTAATGGAGAGAGTCAAACTTCAATAGAGTAGTTGAGATAAATCATCATACCTGTGTAAGCAAAATAATGTAGCTTTCAAGTCTTCATTTGAAGCATGTGGTAGCTTTGCTATAATGGATGGAGTAAGATCTTACTCTTGAGCTGAGTAAATGATGTAAATAGATATCTTCATTTGACATCAGTTTTGATTTTTTGTTAAGTCATTATATTTATCCTCCAATTTCTCCCTATCTTTCACCACATGAGAACAATCACACAAATTTGAAATTCTTTCATTGCTTTGCCAGTGTGCTTGTAACCTTCAATTGCTCTCTAGTTTGAAGCTTTTCATTCTCACATAAGTTGTCCTTGATATTTCATTTGGAGATATGTAATAGATTAATATAAATTTTCTCTTTTAGGGTCTAATTTAAATATGAATGTTGAATTTTTCATTTTGTCCATGTATTATGTTGACATGTTATCATCTATAATTTTTACTTTTCACCTTTAGTCATTCTTTAGTTTGAAGCCTTATGCTCTCATGTAAGTTGTCCTTGATATTATATCTAGAGATGCATAATAAATCAATAGATGCCTTTGTCTTTAGGGTCAAGCTCAGATACGATTGTTGAGCTTTTCATTATGTCCATGTACTTTGCCAATGTATTATTGTTTAAGGTGCATAAATTAACCTTTAGTTATTCTTGTTTGAGACCTAGTTCTTCTCATAGATCATATTCAAAACTCCAGTCTACAGATTCTTGATATTTCAATTATATTTCAAAACTCTAATATGTTTAAGAACATATTCGTTTCTTTCTTACTAAGTAAATATCTAATGACTGAATGATCAATATAAATAACTATTTAACTTCATAAAAAATATGATCTAAATTTATTTAGAACAAAGATAATAGCCAGTAATTCTTTCTCAGTTGTAGTGTAATTTATAGGAGCCTCATTAAAAGTTTTACTTGTGTAATAAATGGCCATTAGTTTCTTATCCACTCATTGACCTATGACAGCTCCCACTACAAAATCTGAAGCATCACACATTAGTTCAAAAGGTAAACTCTAATCCAGGGATCTTAGGATAGAAGCCTCAATCAATACTTTCTTAATTTCCAAACAAACTTGTTCACCTGCTGCATCAACATAGAAGATAATATCTTTAGAGAGCAAGTTAGTCAACGGTTTGGATAATTTAGCAAAATATTTAATGAAATATTGATAAAATCTAACATGTCCAAAATGCTCTCATTTATTTAATTGTGCTAGGCTAATGAAGGTTGTGAATTACTTCAATCTTAGCTTTATCTACCTCCAACCCTCCGACTGCTAACTAAATGGCCCAACACAACTCCTTGTTGCATGATAAAATGAAACTTCTATCAACTCAAGATTTTTTTTTTTTAATATATATCTACAAAATTTTTATCAAATTAGTCAAAAAATGACCAAAAGACTGACCAAACACCGAAAAATCATTCATGAATATTTCTAAACAATCACCAACTAACTCAAAAAAATGGTAGACATACATCTTTGAAAGGTAGTAAGTGAATTACACAAACCAAATGACATCTTTTGAAATGCAAACATTCTTAATGGGCATGTAAACTTGGTTTTTTCTTGATCATCAAGGCATATACCTATTTGGTTGTACCCTGAATATTTACCTAGAAAATTAAAAAAAATATATCCTACTAATTTTTCAAGGATTTGATCGATGGAGGGTAAGGATAATGATCTTTCTTAGTCACATGATTTAATCTTCTATAATCTATACAAACTCTCCAGCTAGTGGATAATCTAATTTGAATCTCTTCCCTTTTTCATTTTAGTCACGCTGATTCCTATTTTCTTTGGGACTACATAGATAGGACTAATCCATGGGCTATCAGATATATAATAGATTATACATGTGTCCAACCACTTCATAACCTCTTTATTCACTGCCTTCCACATCTTAGGATTTAATCTCCTCTAAGTTTTCCTACTACAACGAGCATCATCTTCAATAAAAATCCTATGCATACAAGTATCTACACTAAATCCTTTTATATCGCCTAAAGGGAGCCAAGAGCATTTTTATAAGTCCTAAGTACATATAATATCTCTCTTCCTGATCTAAGATAGAGTGGATGAAATAATAACAAGAAAATAATTTCCTTGTCCAAGAAAAGCATGCTTTAAAGTTGAGGGTAAAGGCTTCAATTCTTAATGTTTTTCTTCATCATTAGGTAAGATATTTTTTTCGGTTAAAACTTGTGGAGGATCAAGAATAGAAGTCATACAAAGAAAATTATCATCAACACATTCATCAGATAAATCAATATGATTACAATCTTCAATGAAATTCTCAACATATTTTATCAACTTAGAAATTTTTATTTCAACTTTTTCATGCCCAAATTTTAATTCTACCATTCCCTTCCCCCAATCCATTGTAGTTTTGGCTATTGTTAAGAATGGCCTACCCAAAATGATGGGAGTATGAGTAATATTATCATTCATTTTCATATCAGCAACAATAAAATCTACGGGAAAATACCAACTTTCTATTTTTACTATCACATCTTCAAGAATTCTACATGATTGTCTAATCAACCCATCAGCTAATTGAAACTCTACTATAATTGATTGTAAATCACTGAATTTAAATTTATCATAAAGAGCTTTTTAGTAGTATATTCACACTAGCACCTAAATCAAGTAAAGATCTAGTAAAAAGAATACCTTTAATCTCACAAGTGATAAGTGGTGCTCTGAGATATCTACGCTTTTCAAGAATATGATTAAATAATTTAGAACTTATTGTCTCAGATACTCTCTACATAATCCTTTTAAAAATTTATCATATGAAGAAATGTGCTTAATAATATTAATAAAAGGAATATTAGTATTTACTTGTTTGAAAAGATCCATGAGATGATCATCAAGGGTATTAGGTTTATTTTTAAATTTTTGCAAGGCTTCAAGAAAAGGAATTGGAGATTTATAATTTTTGAGATTTACCTCTCTACCCTCCTTATTACATATATCTACGGTTTCTTGATCTTCTTTATCTTGTTTTTCTTCATACTCCAAATTGTTTTCTTCTCTTTTCTCTCTATGTGGATCAGGTAAATTTTTTCCATTCCTTAATTTTGAAATAGCATGTAATGTTTCAAAATCTTTATCCTTGGATTCTACATGATGAATTTGATGCTAAGAAGAATTAGTCATATGTTTAGGATTAACTATTGGTTGAGTGGAAAATTTACTTGTCTCAACCATTATAATTCGAATTTTCCCTTTTACCTTTGTTTTCCTCTAGCCTTGAGAGTTCTTGGTGCTGGCTGTCAACTTTGATCTTCATTCTCTTCGTTTCTTGTATAATTTATTGCTGTTTTAATTCCATAGCTTTCTTCCCCTGCAACAATTACTTCAAGAGCTCATTAATAGTCACAGAATCATCCTTTTGCACTACTTAGTTTCATGCTCCCTTGATGATAAGCATGTGCATAACTAGAACTTTGAAAATGTTGCCTCGGATGTGAAGAGAAATCTTGATGATTTAGAGCAGAATAATAAGAATTACCTGCATCCTTTATAAAATTATTATTATGGCTCTTCTTATTGCTCCATGTATACTGATTGAACTTTTTATTTTTCAGAAACTATCATTCATTGCCATGGCTTGATTATATCTAGGAAAGTTCAATTCTACATGTTCATGACTAGAGCAAAGTGCACAAATTGGTAATTCAAATTCAATAGGAGATGGCTCAGAATTTAAATTATCACTTGTAGAACCATTCATTAAATTATTGACACATTCCATTAATTTATCTAGTTTATCTAAAAGGAAAACTCTCTCAAATGATTTCGAGTCATAAATATATCTTCTAGGCCCAAGACCTTGTCCATTTTGGTTTAAAGCCACGTGATGTGCACTATTTTCTGCAATCATTTCAATCAAGTCAGAAGCTTCATGATCATACTTATTCATAAAAGCACCTTTGCTGGCTGCATCTATCACATGTCAGTCTTTGTCATTCAGCCCTTCCTAAAAAATCTAAACAAGTTACCAATTATAAATCCCATGAAGGGGCACTGTCAATTATACTCCTTCATTCTTTCCCATGTTTCAAAAAATGATTCTTGAGCTCCCTACACAAAATCTCTAATTGCCTTTCTAATGGCATTAGTTTTATCAATATAATAAAAAAAAATTAAGAAGGCTACTTCCATTTCACTCTATGAATTTAACTCTTGAGCTAGAGCTCTAAACCAATCTTTAGCTTTGTCCTTAAGAGTAAAAGAAAACACATTCATCTTCACCACTTCACTAGACACATTAGGATAATTTGAGATTTCACACAACTTTGAGAAATTTCGTCTAAGTGCTTATAAGGTTCTTCATGACTCATCCCATGAAAATGAGGTAACATTTACACTAGAGGATGATCTTGTTGATGCCCTTGGGCATAGATTTTAATATTAAAATTATATGAGAAAATATATAATTCATGTTTGATATTGTTTACAAGATTATCATAAATGCCTCATAGATTTCATGCAAATAAATTTATTATTTATCTTGTGACATTAGGGCTAACCTTGAGATTAAGTGAATTGATGAATGAATAGGTGAAGCGCCACATATATATGGATAAATATTTGTTGGAAAACAAATATTTAATCGGTAAATGATGGTTATGTTTTTAGTTCATTTATCCATGATTATTTAACCATTTAAGTGCAGCTATTATTTATTAGTCACGTGCATCATTAAAAGAAAAAGAAAATGATTCGAAATATCAAATGAGCTCTTGTGAGTCTCGAACCGGAAATCTAGACGATGACACGCCAGCTGCTTGCTTACGTGGAGAAAACGACCAGCTTAACGCTCTAATCTGAAGACAGAGTCAACAGGAAAGTTGTTCTTCTGTGAGAGATGAATCTCCAATTCAAATTTATAATCGAACGGACCAGAGAATAGAAAGGTATTGAATTCGCAATAGTCAAAGGTCGTTGCCGCGCATTCCGGAAAACGGTAAGTATTTGAACTGACTTTCCAATTTTATCTCTTGAGCAAAATGCGGAAATCCGTTGGAGGACGACGCCCTGGTAAAGGAAGCTGGGGAGATCAACAATAATGATTCCACTTCGATCTATGACGAGTAATCTCTCTCACAGTCAAGAATCATTACTGCTGAGCTTCAACCACGAGCAGACTGCATCATCCTTCTTCATCAACGATTGATGATCAAGATAAAGCTTGAATCTTTCAAGGAGGCTCTCCATCAGGCCCTAAGGTAACTGGGTAGTGAGTGGAGAGTGATTTTGGTCAGAGGCACGAGGTGCTATAAGTCCTGTTTGGCCCAGAAGGGGCTGGATCTCTGCGGAGATCAAATCTGAGGTATTGGGTTGCTGATCCCATTAATTTCAGTGTGTATTTCCGAGGAAAATAGTGAAATACTGATGAGAAGGATCCTCCGGGATTAGAAGTAGCCAAGTGAGGGGCAAATCAGTATAAAAAGTTCTTGTCTCATAGTGAGAACCCACTGGAAGAGAGAGAAAGTAATCATGTACGTAGATAATCATGCACAGCTGTGTTAATTCATGTGTTGACACATCTACTATCTAGGAAGAAAATCCGAGATTTTTAAAATACCAATTTACCCCCTCTTGGTATTTTGCCTAGCCTTGAGATCTTTCAGAACTACTCTAAAGTTCACTCCTTATCTAAGAGGTGCATTCACTTTGGTCAATGGGCTATATTGTAGACAAACTGTATGAGCTTTAAGATGTATTCTACCTTGATCATTCTCATGCATGACTAATGTATTTTCAGCTACTTTAGTAGAACTACACGATTCTTCTTCTAATTCACATTCAGCAGTAACTATGGGAGCTTTTTGAGTATATCGACCTTGCATGAAATAATGTAAAAAAATATATTATTTTATAGAAAGTTTTTGAATTGCTTAACTTTAACACCAAGGTTGAAACAAAATTTCTGTAGACAGATTTTTCTCTCTTCATTTCTACTTAGAAGAGGAGAACAATTAATTCACAAAAAATAAATTCAACCTTGAGTTAGCACAATTCAAATTCATAATTTCTTCAAGAAAGAAAGTGTGATGACTGCTTTAACTAACCATGATATTCAGACAGAATCAATATATTATATGATGATATAACTCCGAAATTATTAAGAAAATAAGGTTAGATATCCTACCTCACTCCATAGCTTCTCTTAATTTCTTTCTATCCGGATCAACTTAAAAGAACTTTAAACTTGTTAGTTCAAAAAGTAAAGACAAATTCATGAAATTAATAAAAATAAACATCTAAGGCTCTCAAGTCCTTGGCAAACGCACCATTTGACAGATGGATTTTACTAAGCTGACATTTATACCTAAATCATGGATCTGATCATGTAAGAAATGTACAGGAATCCTGATCTCGATTCTAACTTATGTAGTTAGGATGATACCAGTTCGTTCTGCACATGAACTCAAGTATTAGATACCTATTAAGTTAATGATGAAAGATGAGAATGATAATGAATTAACAGATAGAATGAAGAAAGAAACCTAGGTTGATGCCCCAACCTAGAGGATTGAAGAAAAGGGATTTTTATGAACACTAACAATGGAGTAAAATCAAATCTCGAAATATATTAAATCTAACTTAACTAAATCAATCTAGTATGCATCGTGTTGAAGCTCATTCCGATCTTGTGTACTCACCTGAGATTTTTATTAATCGCCAAGATTAGGCTACTTCGTAATTCAGAGAAGGGACTTGCTCCAAGGGAAACTCCCAACACAAAGACAGCCAACTCGTCTCTATCCAGCCGAGAGAAAAGATGGAGAGTCTTACAAGTGATCCACCCTTCACATACAACTCAAACACGAGGAGAAGTCATTTAAGGCTAAAAATTTGCACTAATTGAGAAATCATTTCAAGAAAAAGGCAAAAACACACGTCCTGACTAAAGCCCATCGGCCCGCATTTTAGAAAAAATAAAATAGAATGGAATTATATTACAAGATTTGTAGACGGGTCCATCTGCCGGCGTTGGGTAAGAACAGTGGGTGTGTGGCGTCGATGGGTCAAACACAGGCGCTTTGGTAACTCATCGAAGTACATTTCGGTGTCTGGATGGTCGACGGGCAGGATACTTGGCTGCTGCAGACGGTTCTGGGGATCTTCAGGAAAGATCACTGAAACAGAACCCTCGATGGGCAGACATGAAGGCTCGAATTTGTACCACCACTGTGTGAGAGTTTGCACAACAGAGGAGCTCGAGAGGAGCTGAATCAGAGAGTTCATTTTCCATTCCATGCAATCAGAGGAGTGGGGCGCCGGCCGGATCTTCCTCCATGTCCCCAAGAAACGGCGACTCGGCGGTCACGCCGCTCTGGGCACCGGCGCTGTCGGCGGAAGGAGAGGAAAGATCAAAGCGAGGCGGACAACACAGCGACGCCTGCTGCTGCGCGGAGGAGGCGAAGATGCTACCCGGACATTCTCTCGTTCAGCGCTTCGAGCTCCTGAAATACGGAGAAGAAGTCCGGCTCCGCACGATCGGCAGTTGCGCCTGGGAGATCCGAAGTCTTCCCGCCAGCGATCGCCGCGCGTGGAGACGACGGAGAAGGGGAGAAAGACGGCGGGGGAAGTGGAATAGAGCCTGATGACCGGCGGCAGAGGCAACGAAGCCTCCGGCCCGCAAGCCCCGGTTCGGTCCGCGGCCTTCCCCGAGACCCAGTTGATGACGGCGGGGGGGCCTTCCCCTCCGCCGTAGGAAGCGGCGTACTTCAGCCCGCACTCGGAGAAGGCGAGCACGGCCACCCGCCAGCCTGGGTGGGCCGTGGCGAAACCCTCCGCCTTCAAGAGGAGCCCTCTCCGGCGCTTTGAGAAGCAGACGGGCCGCGCTTCAACGCCGTCGATCCGGCGGACGTCAGGGCCACGAGGTCAGCAGTCATCGTCTTTGTCCACTCACTTCACCAACTCCCTCCCGCGTTTTCCCGCAGAAGGCAGCTGGTAATCCACATGCACGAGAAGTGGGGAGAACAGAAGAATGAGAGACGATGTAGAGAACAGAAGTGAGAGACGATGGAGATAGAGTCCGGTCGCTTTTACCGGGCGGATATTGGAACTGGTCAGCCCTGGAGTGTTTGTTACGCGCGACGTAGCCGAACGAGGACTCCATCACGCGTCTCCCGCGCGTATATTTTAGATTTGACCCGATCTGTATAGGAAAACGTAAGAAAACTTCCCCCAAATCCGGCGGTTCTAGAAGAACATGGCATCGAAGAAGCATCCTATTCCCGGTCAACGATGTTTCTGTTCCCCCTCTCCTCCTCGGTCAGCCCTCAATCGATCGATCTATTATTTTTCTCCGAATGCCTCCCTCTGCCGTTGGCTCTCACTATAAAAGCAGCCCCGCACACGCATATATTCCTCATCCCCCCCTCACGAACTCCCATCTACCCTTCTTCTCTCCGCTTTGCGCGATCCTGTGTCTGTGTGGACTCAGGGGAAGGAGGGGGCTGCGAGGGCTGTGGGCAAGGGCGACCTGCAGAACACACGAAGAACTGTTTCTTCTCAGACAACAGCGACCAACAAGCATGACCTCATCTTCGTCCTCTGCACTTCCCTTCTTCATCCTCGTCGTGGTTTACGCCGCCACGGGCGCGCTCGCGGCCACATTCGAGGTAGGGGACAACCAGATATGGAGCATCCCATCCAGTCCCAGCTACTACACTGACTGGGCCAGCAGGCAGACATTCGCTGTCGGCGATTCTCTCGGTAGGCAGCATCTTCAGTCTCTCCGTTCCTTCATTCCTCTCAGCTTCTTAGCATCATCTCAATCTCTAATAGTGCGCCCCAGAGCACTCTAATCAAACTCCCTGATCCTGCCCCTCTGCAGTTTTCAACTTCAACAACGGTGCCCACGACGTGCTCGAGGTGACGAGGGCGAACTACGACGACTGCACTACGTCCAACCCCATCGCCACGTACACCACCGGCCCGGCCACCGTGGAACTCACTGCAGCGGGCACCAGATACTTCATCTGCGGCGTCAATGGTCACTGTAGTGCAGGCCAGAAGATGACTCTCACAGTGGCGGCGGCCTCCACCCCTTCGGCCACCCCGCCATCCCCGACCTCCTCCGGAGCACCAACACCTCCCACAACTGTTGCTAGCCCTCCAACGTCCTCCACCCCCGGACCTTCTGGTTCGGCACCCGGAGTTCCCGGGGCGGCGCCCTCTGCAACCCTCGGAACAGCCGCGGTCGCTGCCACCTTTGCGTTGACAACAATCGCAGCCGCTCTGATGTTGTAGAAACCTACGCAGCTTCATGTATCCATGTGCCCTTATTGTTACGTCGTATGAAATTGGATTAAATTTCTGACGCATCTGGTGGTCTTCTCTGTGTTTTTTCTCGTATTCCGGTGCCACACTTGCGGGAGTCTTTGTCCAAAACAGCTTCAGGGGATCTTTTGTCTCTAACACCTTGATTCTGACGGCCATGGTTGATGCGGTACATGCGTTCTTATTCCACAGTGCGAATGGTTAGACTTTTGGGTTCCTAGAGAACCCCCCAATTTAAAAGACGCATGTAGGGGACGCGTGGTGCAGTATCGTCCGACTTCGTCAGAAGACTTCGTAGGAGAGAGGGAGGATGATGCTTGAGAGACTGTCGTGCTTGCTTCTTGGATGAGGGAGGGAGAGAGAGGAAGCATCGTTGATGTTCGACTCTTCTAGAACGGCGGCATCATTACGGGAAGAAGTCGTCTGATGCTGTCCTCCAGAGATCCCGCCTAATTAAAACATTGGGGAAGGGGACGATTGATGAAATCTCGTCCGACTACGTCAGGTGCACCAATTCAAAGTTTCCAGGGTTTGACAAATTCCGTGCCGACGGCGACAGACCATAAAGCGACCCGACTCCATCTCGATACTTTCTGGCTTGGCCTGTTGTCCCTCTTCCGTGGGGACGTGTTGGATGTCATATCGTGAGAGAACGCAGGGGAGAGTCTGAAGAGTACGTTCGAGTATTGAGCTAAAGAGATGGACGGAAATGATACGTTTTCATAGGGCCGCATTTCTTCCACCTCACTCTCCCTCCCTCTCAAGCATCCTTTTCCCTCCCACTGTGCGCCCCCGCCCCACGTCTCCCCCCTCTCTCTCTGTCTCTCTTATAGTATCGAAGCACTTCTGGGAGCTCAACTAGTTTAACCACAGAGCTAAGTGAAATCGAGAACAGGCTTGGGGGATAGAGAAAGCTTAGGGCATAACCAAATCGCTATAAATCATTCTTGGTATTGTTTCGTTCATTTTCGCAGGGACGCTCCTAAAGATGAACACAGCAACCAGCAAGTCTAGAAAAACCTGATATGGTAGACTTGTATTATAGTGTTATGTGCACTAAGATTTTCATTTTAGAATTTCTTCAATTGATTAATGGGTCAAAGTAACAGTCGGCTTATGCATCAGAATATCTTAAAACCCATGATTTGTATCAGACTAAATAATTATACCAATAAATCTAGACACTTTTGCTACAGGTTTGTGATTTTTCATCCAATTAGCCTCTCTCTCTCTTTCTCTCTCTCTCTCTCTCTCTCTCACCCCTTAATTTAAAACTTTTCCCGAGATGGAGGGCTTACACCCCAAACATCGGGCAGTGGTGCCAAGATTTAGATGGTCTTCAAGTGTCAGTTCTTCCATTCTCTCTTTTTTTCTTCGTAGACTAATAGTACATTGAGTAAGCCATAATATTAAGAAATCACAAGATGAGCAGTCGCAAAGTTACAATAAAAACGCATGTTTTACATAAGGCGCCATGTGAACCACGCCTCCCCTAGCTCTTTTTGCTCGTCCCCTTATTTGGACAAGAATGAGCGAGGGCCATGAGGTTTGAAGGGTTCTGAGTGTCCCACTGATAAGTCTTCACTATCATAAGCTAATAATTAATAAATAATATAGTTTTAGCCTTAACTCATGATAAATAGACTTATATTTGTGTTAAAGTGTGAAAAGTGGTTTTCAATTAATTAATGTGAATTTTTGGGTAATTATTTGATTTTATACTAATTTATATGATTTTTACAGTTTTACTTTTGAGATAACTGAAGAAAAAGAAATAAAAATAAAAATAAGACAAAATGGGGGGGACCCGCCGACCAGCCAGGCCCACAAGCGGGTCGGAAGCGCAGTCGAGGAGTAGCCATGAGTAGGGGCTCGAGTAGCTTGGACCAATAGGGGTATGTGCATGCCACCTCCCTTCCACATCACCGGTGGCCAGCCAGCTGTGGGGCAAGGAGTGGTCGTACACGTGTGAGAAAGAGACTTGATCGAAAATATAATATTACTATATATTTACCTGAAATTTTGACGCACAATTGATGTGGGACTAAACCTGCGTCACACCCTCTCCAAAAAGGGCGGGCAACCGGGCGGGTTCGAATCCTCCCAGAGCCAAAATTCATATTTTTTATCTGATTATCACGACTTTCTTGCAAATCACCAGTGAAAATCTCGTCAATGCGATTCGTGGAGTATTGTTACTAAAATTGCTGAATGATTCGCGATAAAAAGATTGTGAATCCATCGAGTAAAGCATCTCCGATTGATCGACGAACAAGCTGTCATCAAGAAGAGGACGATCTGCCGGGAGATGAGTCGCCACCTCCTGAGAGCGTACTAGATGTGATGAAGAGCCAACTCTTGCTGCACGGATTTAAGGATGAAGCTCCCTAACACGGGCCCCACCTCCATTTAGCTCTTCTCCGTCAGATGATAGCCATCAGAGAGCTGCAAAGTCACCATTTTTCCGCTCCGCCAGATGATAGCCGCCGAAGACGATTCGACAACCCATTTCATTAATCTCTAGACTTTGTAAAGAGATCTAGAGATTGTCCACGTCATCTTTGTCCAAGGAGAGCTTTCGAGGCCGTGGATACTGCATGACAATCCTCTGGAACGCTCAAGATTCTGGTGCATCGTCAACCCATCGCTGCCACGATGCCAAAACTCTGTTTTCTTGCTTTCAACTTAATTTTCGTTTCATTTAGTGATAATTTGTTGATTTTAAATTTACCAAGATATACTTCATTTCATTACGATTCTTCCGGCTTTTATAAATCTTAATTTGATCAATTAAATCGTCTATAATTAGTTACGTAAGAATCACCAGGCGGAACTCTATTTCCGCCGGATTCACATTCACCGGGCACTGACATCATCATGACATCCGCACCCTTATTTCCCTTTTTTATAAATTTTAAATATATTTCCTTTTCATTTCTTAGTATAAAATTCATAGAAAATAATATTCTTTGAGAAAAATTCTGAATAATTACCAGATATTATATTACATCCCTATGATTGACTTGGAAAATTACCGCTATTTGTGGAACTTTTATTGAATTATAATTGATATATTTGTTCAGAAATACTTCTAAATATCTAAAAATTCGTATTTTCTAGTTTTATAAATTTTAAATATGCGTGATTTACTATACAACGACTAAGTCACGTCACCCACCTTTTTAGGTGAACGTAACATTGACTTGTCACTCCAAGGATGGCAAAATCCAAGCTTTCATCTACCCTCTCCAAAGGATATAGCTTGCCTTGTGAAGACTACCATTCTCTTAGTGTCCCTTGAGACTTAACTTTCTCGTGATATCTCTACTGGTAATGTTTGTAGATGTGACATTATCAACATTGCATCAGGTTCATGGAGGCCTCAGCTTCTGAGGGACAAGATCAGAGATGTTGGCTCGACGTAGAGCTCCTTAAGAGGCAACTTCACCAGCTGGGGTAGGACTGGAAGCTGGAGGGGAGTGCGCTCGCCGTGGAAACGACGATGTTGATGGCGTCAGGAGACAACTGGCTGGCTGGCTGGGTGACGAAAGCTGATGGGGTGGCAAGAAGCTCTCCCACCACATCATGACAAGCTTCGAGTAGGGTGTGGAATAGACGGAAAGACGGAGCAATCTTTCATTATTATGAGCTTGGTCATTGGTTGGACAAATTTCCTGCACAAATTTCATCATGATTTTATGATCATCACGATTTTTCTGCACAAATTTCATCACGATTTTATGATCATTAGTTCTAGTAGGAATAGCTTCCACCCACTTAGACACATAATTAACAACAAGTAAAATATATTCATATTTTTCAGCTGATGGGAAGGGACCCATGAAACCAATACATCAAAAATTTCGACTACTAACATGTTACTCATGGGCATTTCATCTTTTTTACTCATGTTACCTATAGATTGGTATGAAATACATGTTCTACTAAATTCTATAGAATCTTTAATGATTGTAGGCCAATAAAAACCACACTGAAAAAAATTTGTAGCTATTTTTTGTCTATAGAAATGTCCTCCACAGTTAGATGAATGACACATGTTAAAAATGCTATGATATTCTTCTTCAAGATCACATCTCTTTAAAATTTAATCATTTCCCAAATAATATAAATCAAGATCATGCCAAAAATAATTTCTAATCATAAAAAAGAAATGATGTTTTCTATTCTTATCCCATTGTTCTGTAATTTTTCAGAAACTAGAAAATAAACAATAAGTGTATACCATGGTGATGGTTGATGTTAAGTAACGTGACTCAGTCGTTGTATATTAAATCACGCAAATATAAAATTTATAAAACTAGAAAATATGAATTTTTGAATATTTAGAAGTATTTCTGAATAAATATATCAATTATAATTCAATAAAACTTCCAAAAATAGCGGTAATTTTCCAGGTCGATAACAGGGATGTAATATAATATCTGGTAATTATTCAGAATTTTTCTCAATGAATACGATTTTCTATGAATTTTATACTAGGAAATGAAAAGGAAATATATTTAAAATTCACGAAAAAGAAGGAAATAAGGGTGCGGACGTCAGGATGATGTCAGCGCCTGGCGAACGCGAATCAGGCGAAAACAGAGTTCCGCCCGACGATTCTTACGAAAGCGATTACAGACGATTTAGTTAATCAAATTAAGATCTGCAAAAGCTAGAAGAATCATAATAGAACAAAGTATATTTTGGTAAATTAAAATCACAAAAAGTATCACTAAATGAAGCGTAAAGTAAGTTTGAAAGTAGGAAAATAGAGTTCCGGCGTCACGACGGAGATGCGTCGGCGATGCACCGGAATCCTGAGCATTCGGGAGGATCATCATGCAGTGTCCATGGCCTCGAAGGCTCTCCTTGGGCAAAGACGACGTGGGCAATCTCTAGATCTTCTCGCGAAGTCTAGAAATTAATGAAATGGGTTGCCGAGTCATCTCCGGTGGCTGTCACCCGGCAGAGCGGAAAAACGACGACTTTGCGGCTCTCCGGCGGCTGTCACCCGACAAAGAGGAGCTGGATGAAAGTGGGGCGCGTGTGAGGGAGCTTCATCCTCAGGTCCGCGTAGCAAGAGGAGGCTCTTCATCGCATCTGGTACGCTCTCAGGAGGTGACGACTCGTCTCCCAGCGGATCGTCCTCTTCTCGACGACGGCTTGTTTGTTGATCAATCAGAGATGATTTACTCAATGGATTCGCGATCCTTTTATCGCAAATCATTCAGCAATTTTAGTAGCAATGCTCTGCGAATCGCGTTGACGAGATTTTCACCGATGATCCAGCGATTCTCGTTGCTTAATCCTTCACTAGCGATCTGTAGAAAAGTCGCGATAATGAGATAAAAATATATGAATTTTGACTCTGGGAGGATTCGAACCCGCCCCGGTTGTCTGCCCCTTCTGAGGAAGGTGTGATGCGGGTTTAGTCCCACATCGGTTGTGCGCCGATTTTTCAGGCGAATATATAGTAATGCTAGCTTTCTAGGCAAAGTTCCTTCTCTCGCGTGTACGACCACTCCTTGCCCCACAGCCGGCTGGCCACTAGTGACGAGGAAGGGGAGTGGCGCACACGTGCCCCTATCGGTCCAAGCTGCTCGAGCCCCTGCTCGCGGCTACTCCCCGACTGAGCTTCCGACCCGCATGCGGGCCGAGCTGGCCGGCGGGTCCTCCCCATTTTGCAATATTTTAGTTTTATTTCTTTTTCTTCATTTATCTCAAAAGTAAGACTGTAAAAATCATATAAATTCGTATAAAATCACATAATTACCGAAAAAATCACATTAATCAATTGAAAACAACTTTTCACACTTTAACACAAATATAAGTCTATTTATCATGAGTTAAGGCTAAAACTATATTATTTACTAATTATTAACTCATGATAATGAAGAGTTATCACACCCCCCAACTTAAATAATTGCTAGTCCCTTAGCAATGGAATTACGAAAATAAAAATTTACAAATCTCAAACATCATATTTCAATACATAAAAATTAAAATACAATTAGAAATGATGCACCTTTAGACACTTTGGACTCTTATATCAAGTCTTTAAGAATGATGTCAAGCACTTAAATGTTTAAGCACTCTTTGGAATAACAATCTAGACTTCACTTCTTCTATTCACATCTTTATCACTTCTTCACTCATAGATATATTTACAAGATGTTCTAATTATCAATAATCATCTAAGAATAATATTGATCCTACATTTCCCTTTTTCCATGTCTTGATTTTTGAAGTTTGCACTATATTTCTTCCTTCTTTTATAGTGGATAAGTAGCTTTTCCTGTAGACAAATTTCGACTATGAGAATGATGTCTCACACCCTCCATGTGTATTCTTCATTTTCAGGGCTTTCACTTTATCCACTTATTTTGCAGCAAGTGTTTTTCTATACACGATTTTCGACAATGAGAATGATGTCTCACACCCTCTATGTGTACTCTTCGTTTCTAGATTTTTCACATTGCTCTCTCTCTTTTTTTTTCGAAATAAGTGATTTCTCCTCACAAGTCTTATAGATCAGGGTGCAAAAATCTCCATTAAACTCAAATGATCAATCAAATTTTCACATCAAGTAAATATTATCCATCAAGATCATGAAGTGAAAATCTGTAAAATCAAATCCATGTTATCTATCATGTATCCAAGGAGTATTCCAACATTTCATGCTACTAGATCATTCTTTTGACTCAATAATAATCTTCCTAGTATCTTTTGGTATCAATCAATCTAATTGATTTAATTTTTCATTCATGCAATATGATGTAAGAGATTTGTAAATTAGATAGTTCTGACAGTTCTGTTTTCTATTTTCAGTTCTATTTTTAGCAGCAATAAATTTGTCAAAAATAAATCAAAACTATCCTCTTTATAGCTGTAATTTTGAATTTCAGTAATATATATCTAGGGAATTGAAATGTGAGAAAAGGGTCTTCTAGAATTTCAAATTTCGGGCTGTTTTTTGTCTGCTGTTTTTGACAGTTTGTTGTTTCTGACGGAAAACGAAAAATAGATGTTGTAGTTTTTCCGAATCTTATTTTATTTTTATTTTTTTAGTTTCTGTTCTAAGTTGAATAAAATGCAAACAAATGTTCTTAATCGTCCTACAGCATAAATTAATAATGAATACTTCTCCCCCCAACTTAAAAATGACATTGTCCTCAATGACACAGAAAAATCGAAACAGAATATGCAGAAAATATAATTTTCAAGTGAAGCATGCATATATGCAAAGTTTAGCATTAAAAATGTTGTCATAAATGATAAAGCTATGAAAGACATCACCTCAACCTCGTTTTTAATTTTCCATTTCGTCTTACATGCCTCCTCCTACACTTTTTCGAAAAAACAAATACAGAAACAAGTACTGCGAAATTCTAAGAAAAACAGAGCTTAAAAAAAAATCAAACAAAATGAAATAAAAACCATGGGTTGCCTCCCATGCAGCGTTGAATTTAATGTCTTCAGCTGGACAGCTCTTAGATCATATAAGATGATCTATGGCCATCAAAATATATTTGTATCCCAAGGTAAGTTTCATGATATTCTTTTTCAGATTTAGCATAAATTCATATACTTCATATATATATCTTGACATACTTTCAGCCAAAATAAAATGGAAATTAACAAAATTTTCCCAAAAATAAAATTTCCATTTTGAAAAGAATCTTTCTTCATTTCTATCTTGTTTTGTAAGGCTCTCATTCATTAATAAATACTTTCTATTAATAGACCATAAAATGTGATCAGGCCATATAATTTTCAAATTAGCTCTTACCCAATCTATAATTTTTTCATCTAAATTGATATCTCTAATTCTTCCACTCACCCATTTCTTAATGTGTTATTTTATCTTCATAAT